ATGCTAATGCTGTAAATTCCTCTGCTCTGTTCCAGGCCCCCTTTGTAGATAGCAAGTTTGAGCCCTGTGAAATCCCACTTGGAACAGTGTGTAACTCCCTCCTCTCTCTCCCCCTGGTCCCCCTTCTGATGTTGGGGAGCTTCCATCCATAATAACTCCGATTCTCTTTAATTTAGTGAATATCTTTAAAGTATCTCTTGGCTGAATTTTCCTATCCACTATGTGCTAAATATTTGGGGGTCGAGGAGGATGACACAGTACCCATAAGACATGATCTCCATCCTCAGGATGCTGACAGTTTCACTGGTGACACAAGATTAACACATAAAAAACCAAATATAAAACATAAAGAATTATAGTAGTATAAGCTACATGTGTGTATATGTATATATACATATATATGCATACACACACACACACACACACACACACACACACACGGAAGAACAAAAAGCAAAGATGTAGCCTATGAGTGTAGGGGAATTTCACTTAGATGTTGTTTCTTGGAAGGCATTAAGTATTGATGCAGATCTTAAAGAAAGTGACAGACATGGCAAAAAAGAGTCAGGTAATTCCAAGAAGAGGAAATAATATATGTAAAAGCACAGACATAGAAGTCAGTGAGACATATATGGGGGAACAATAAGAAGCCTGGTAAAAATGGAAGGCCTCTGTTCAGAAGTCTGGAGAGGTGATATTGTTTATGTCAGTGGTGACTCACTGATGGAGGGAAGGTATTGATATCAGGCAGAATCAAGCAGTATTTCCAGTCAAACATACAAAAGTACCTATTGGGAGTAATAGTTCCAAATGAAACATATTCTTACTCTCAATATTAATACAACAATTGCTGATGCCACTTGAGGGTAGGTGAAGTGACCTTGTTGAGCAAACCAAAGCTGATGTGTATCTAGAGAGGCTAAATGAGTAGAGACACAAGTCTCAGACTTTGTGGTTCCTGCTCGCTCTGACTACTTGAAAATGTCCATTATAACTGCCAGAATCTATCAGAAGGGCTTGCTGACTTCTTATGAAATAGATGACTAAAGGAAGCAGTACAACCAAGTCTTTTTTTTTTCTTTTTTGCTAGGCGTGGGGTTAAGTGACTTGCCCAGCTAGTGAGTGTTATGTGTCTGAGACTGGATTTGAACTTAAGTCCTCCTGACTCCAGGGTCGGTGATCTATCCACTGCACTACCTAGCTGCCTCAGTACAACCAAGTCTTAAGAATTACTGAGTCTAGCAGTAGTAGCTTTTTTTTTCATCTACCAGTCTTGGGACTTTGTTCGCTATACTGGTGCCTTGAGCTTTCCCCTTGGAAATGTTTAGCCTGGAGAAGAGATCACATTCAGTTTGAACCGGGTCAGGCACTGTGCTAGGTGCTAGAGATACAAAGGCAAAAGTGAAATAGTGCTTGTCCTCATGGACCTTACATTTTTTGGGGGGGAAGGGGTTGGAAGGAAGAGGAATAATATGTACACAGATAAATAAATACAACACATATATTAATACAGAGCAGTTTTGTGAGGGTGGGAGTGGAGAGAACACTAACTTGGTGGTGGGAGATCAGGAGAGGTCTTATATAGGAGGTGGCATTTGGGCTAAGCTTTAAAGGGAGTTAGGGATTCCAAGAGGCAGAGGTTTAGAGGGAGAGCCTTCCAGACATGAGAGATAGCCTGTGCATCAGCATGAAGACAGGAGAAGGAATTTCATGTGTCAGGAAATTTCAAGTTGGCCAATTTAACTGGAACATAGAATGGGAGTCATGTGAAATCAATTGAGAAAGATAGTTTGGAGTAAGATTGAAAAGAACATTAAATGCTAGGTTTGTATTTTATACTAGAGGCAGTCGGGGGTGGGGGGGCGGGGAGGCACTGAAGCTTCCTGAGCAGGAGAGACATGGTCAGACCTGTGCTTTAGGAGTATTACTTTGTCATCTACTTGGAGAGTAGATTGGAGAAATAAGAGACTTGAGGCAGCAAGTCCAATTAGGAGATTATTACAGTAGTCTAGGTTAGAGTTGATGAGGGTCTAAATTAGGGTGGTGTGAAGGGAACTGATACAGAAGATATGGAGACAGCAGAATTGTTAAGACTTGGCACCTGATTATATATGAAGAATAAATGAAAGCAAAGAGTCAAAGATGACTCCGAATTTGTGAACCTGCATATCCAATTCCTTTGACAGAAATAGGGAAGTTTGAGGGGAAGGCAATGAGTTATACTTTGGAGAAGTTGAGTTTGAGATGCCTGTGTTATGGTATTTTGGTATAAATGTCTAATTTGTTGATGTAGTTGGTGAGGCAGTTGGAGGAGTTCAGAGAGGGATGAGGTCTGGCTATGTAGATCTGGGAATCATGTACATAAAGATGATGATTGGATATATAAAGCTGATGAGATCACCGAGAGAGAATGTAGCAAGAAAAGGACATATCCAGGGGTATCCTAGGTTATATCCAAGGAAAGGAGTCAGGCAGAATATGGATGATGAACCTTCAAATGAGACTGAGAAGGAATGGCCAAATCTGTCAATCAAAAAGCAATTATTAAGTGCTTACTTTGTGCCAGGCACTGTGCTAAGCGCTGGAGGATACCACTACCAATTAAAAAAAAAAAACAAACAGCCCCTGTTCTTAAGGAGGCATATTCTACTCTAGGAATCAATATTGTAAATAACTAGGCATATATATGATTTATAAAGAGTAGTGAGGGAGGTAACCTCAAAGAGGAAGGCATTAGCAACCAAATGGACCAGGAGGAGCCTCTTACAGAAGGTGGGATTTGAGCCAAAACTTGAAGAAAGTCAGGAAGAGGTAGAGGTAGAGAAAGAAAACATTCTAGGCATAGGGGAAAGCCAGTGCAAAAGCATAGAGACAGGAAATGGTATATCATATGCAGTGAACGGTGGGACAATGTAGCTGGATCTTAGAGTATGTGGAGGGGAGTAAAATGTAAGTAGACGAGAAAGGTAGGGAGCATCTAGGTCGTTAGAGGTTTAAATGCTAAGCACAGTTTGTATTTGATCCTAGAGGTAACAGAGAACCATAGGAGTTCACTGAGTAAGAAAGTGACATTGGTATATCTTTTAAGAAAATCACTTTGGCAACTGAATGAAGTATAGATTGAAGTGAGGAGGGATTTGAGACCGAGTGAGCAACCAGAGTGCCATTGTGGTCGTCTAGATATGAGCTGATGAGAACCTGAATCAATGTGGTGCCTATGAGGAAAAAGAAGGGGGTGCAGATGAGAGATGTTGCGAAGGCACAAATGACAGATTTTGGCAACAGGTTGGATATATCGGATGTGTGAGAATGCGGAGTCTAAGATGACAGCAAGGTTGTGAGCTCGGGTGAGTGTGAGCTTGGGAAGAGTGACCAGAAAATTAAAAGGAAATTCTGTGTGGGGAAAACATCATGAGTTCTGTTTTGGATATGCTGAGTTTGAGACGTCTACCTGGCATCCAGTTCAAGATGTCCAAAAGGCAGCTGATGATGTAAGATTGCAGTTCAGGAGGAAGACGAGGCTGGGGATATAGATACGAGAATCATTTGCAGAGAAATGATCATTGAACCCGTGGAATCTGCTGAGATCTTCAAGTGAGGTAGTACAGAGGGACAAGAGATAAGGGCCCGAGATAGAGTCTTGAGGTGGATACTTCAGGTTTAGTAACTGTGACCTGGATAAAGAACCAGCAAAGGAGCAGTCTGAGAGGTAGGAGGAGAGAACCAGGAGAGAACAGAGTCATGAGTATCTAGAGAAGAGAAAGTTTACGGGAGGAGAAGGCGGTCTACAGTATCAGACATTCAGAGAGGTCAAGAAGAATGAAAATTAGGAGAGAACCACTAGATTTAGTGGTTAAGATATTATCTACTTCCCTTTAGTGGTATTTTCATTTACGTTGTTTTAATCATTGTATATATCGTTTGCTTGCTTCTACTTGTTTTACTCTGCATTGTGGCATGCAGGTCTTCTCACTTTTTTCTCAAGTCATATCCATTCTTTCTTGCTGCATAATAATATTCCTAATATTCCATCACATTCATAACTCATGTCTTTTTTAGTCATTCACTAACACAGCTTTTTCCTGGGTTTTGTCAGTGAAAGGGAGAAGATATAAGACTACTTATGATGGTAGAGTCCAGTGAAGTTTTTTGAAGGTTGAAGGAGATCCAGGCATGCTTGTAGGCTGCGTGGAATGAGCAGGTAGAGAAAGAAATATTGATAGTTAGAAAGAGAGAGGGGCAAGCTCCCAGTGATGGTGGGGATCAAGGACAATAAAGACAGGAGTTGGCTTTGGTAAGGAGAAGGAACACCTCTTCCTCTGATACTAGAGCAAGGAGGAAAGAATGGAGGATAACGTTGAGTAGGGTTAACCTGTAGAATTGAGGAGAAGAGGATACTCTTAACAGGTTGACTTCATTTTCTCAGTAAACTGAGGCTAGGTCCTTTGCTGAAAAGGGGGTGAGAGTAGAGAAATGGTTTTAGTAGCTTGAGGAGAGGAGATGGGATTTATACTTCAAGTGAGATAGACCGTGATCTCTGAAGTCCCTTCCAAATGTAAGATTCTTTTAATTCAGTTCACTGGTTAGGATGACTTTTCTCTGGGATTTCAGAGCCTTGTCAGTCATACATGGATTTAGTTAGATATTTATTATCTTGGTTTGCCTTGTCATGGCTGGAAGGTCCAGGTGAGTATTTTCTGGTTGGTTTTTTTGTTTGTTTATTTTTTTGCTAGGAACTGCAGAGGGAAGAGGGAGGGAAGAGGACCATATAGTTTCTAAGAATGTCTTCTTTCATTTTTATGTCTATTCCTAGCTTTTCTTTATCTTCTTGCTTCACAGTGGTGTTTTTCTTACCTATCATCTCCAACCCGTAATTGTTTTTCTCGCTTATAGGAATGAAGCATTCGTCTTGCAAGCAAATTCCTTCTTATTCTTTTGTAATTTTCCTATTTGAGGTGTTGTTTGTTGAAACCCTTCATATTTCCAATTTTCCCCCTCAGGATCCTTCACTCTTGGACAATAGAGTGACCTTGCTTCATGTACCTGCAGGTACTGTGGTGTCAAAACAAGGGGACCAGGTGAGTAAGAGGCTATGGTAGAAGGAGGGGATTGGTAAATACTGCTACCACCTCGAGTCCAAGCTTTCCCATCATAAGGGCATTTTTGAAGAAGGGAACATATATTTAAAGAAGGGCAATGACTACTCTCAATACTAATTGAGGTTAATTTTTATGCTGAAAGGGGTCTAGAGAGATAGGAGGAGCATTTGGCCCAAGCTTAGACTGCTTTCTTCTCCTGAACCTGACATACTCTTTCCTGTCACCATGTCTTTGTATGTACCATCCCTCACACCTGGGGCATATTCTTGCTCTGTATCCCGTGTTCCAGTATCCTCTTCTTCAAAGTTCGGCCCAGGTGCCACCTCCTGTGTGGAAACTTGTGGCAGTCTCCTTACCCTGCCTCTCCCAGCTGAAATGGTGTGTCTGGATTTCCTCTTTGTCCTCATCATACCCTACTCTGTTATTAACATATCTGTGTGCACGCCATGTCTTCTTTACTAGGATGCGAGCTCCTTGAAAGCAGGAATTGCACTATTTTTATCTGTGTCTCCCCACCACTTAAAACAGTTATTTGTACCCAGTGGACACTAAATAAGTGCTCATTGAATTGAATCCAACAGGAACAATGGCTTCAGCTATTGAGTGTGGATTAGGGAATGCAGGATCTTGGCCACTCTTGCTCTTTGCATGGGAAGGCTAAATCTCTCTTTAGCAATGAGCCATTGTATTTTTCCATGTGCGCTAGACGTTTTAATGTATGTATATGGCAGAACATAAAACTGCTGTGTGAGGGATAATATGAGGGACAGGCTGATCCAAGCCTTATCTCAGTCATAGGAAGGCCATGGCGTGTCTTCTCAGTGATGTTATGTCATCTGAGCCAACAATAGCTACTTATTGGTCTCTCTGGAAATAGTGTATACAGTCTCTATTTGTTTTTTGTTGTGATTCTGATATGCTCCCTGAAACTCCCTTCCCATGAAGTGGCCTTCCTCAGAATTGTGGCTTCACTTGTTCCTTTTCTCCTCATTTTCTTTCCTTTCCTTCTACTTCAGCTTTAAGCTCTCAAAGGAGCCCACACTGACAAAGAGAGGCCTTTTGCTTTTCATAGGAGAAGCAGTGTGTTAGCTGAGTACACAAAGCAGCGATGACTCACTCTTCCACCTGCTTTAGGCCTCCGATGTGTATTCAGGGAAAACTCCAGGGGCAAATTTTCCTGCTTATTTAATTCCAGCCCCCAGCCAGCCTTACTCTTGCAATGTTTCAGTTCTCTCTGAAACAGTCAGTGAGTCAGCTACACTTATTGAGTACCCACTGTGTACAGAGATGGTTCTAGAAGTCCTAGGGGGCCACAAATCAGACATAAGTTCAGTATCCTTAGGTAACTTAAAATCCACTTGGGGTGACAGAACATACACACGCTGATACAGGAACATACGGAGGAATATCAATAAATATAAGGCAGCATCTGACTGTCTTATATATCCATCAGTGGTGTAGAGGTGATTCAAAATTGAAACAGAATAGGGTGAAATGAATTAGGGTAGCCAACTGTCAGCAAGCATTTATTAAGCACCTACTATGTTGCCAGGCACTCTGCTAAGCACTGGGGTACAAAAAGAAGGAAAAGATAGTTCCTTCTCTCAGTTGGCTTACAATTGAGTGAGGGAGACAACAAGCAAACAAATATAAACAAGCAAGCTATATGTAAGAAAAGTAGGAAATAATTAACAGAGGGAAGACACTAGAAATCAGGGGCATCTGGAAAGGCTTCCTATAGAAACTGGAATTTTATCCTGGGACTTGAAGGAAGCCAGGGAAACCAGTATGTGGAGATGAAGAGAGAATAGCATTCTAGTCATGGGAGACAGCCAGAGGAAATACCTGGAGGCAAGAGACAGAGTGTCCAGTTTGTGGAACAGCCGGGAAGCAAGTGTCACTGGTTGGAAGAATATGGAAGAGTTGGGCAGTAAGGGTTAAGAAGACTCAAAAGCCAGGGTGGGATGTGTGCTTTAGGTTATAAAGGGCTTTGATGGCCAGACAGAGGATTTCTTATTTGATCCTGGAGTTTATTGAGTAGAGGGGTGACATGGTTCAATCTGTGTCAACTGGGGATAGTGAGTATTCATTCAGTCAGATTTCAGAGGTGATGGACATGAATTTGATGGGGTGGAAGACCTAGAGAAGATAGTTCAGGTGACAAATGTGCAAATGCAAGAAGGTGCAAAGGAAGAAGTCTTGTGTGGGTGATGGCAAGTGAGAAGTGTAGTGGTGGTGGTGGTTGTTGCTTTTTTCAAGGTGGACAGACTTCAAACAGAAATTAAGGAGACAGCTGGGAAATATTAATGAAAATAGGAAAGGAGGGAAGAAGAGTGAGGAAAATCTATCTGGAGCATGGAAAAGGTGGAATTCAGAACTTACAGGGGAATTAGACTAGCTTTTGAAAAGGATGAGAAGGTAGAGGAAGATAAAGGACGTAAAGAGGAAAACAAACTGGAGATACTTGTACTTGATGTCCCTTGTTTTATCTTCTCATGTATATTCTGAAAATGAGCTTTAAGAGCCAGAGAGAGGTCGAGGGTTTTTTTTGTTTTGTTTTGTTTTGTTTGCTTCTTTTTGGTGAGGTAATCGGGGTTAAGTGACTTGTCCAGGGTCACACAGCTAGTTAAGTGTTAAGTTAAGAGGCCTGGATTTGAACTCGGGTCTTCCTGACTCCGAGGCTGGAGCTCTATCCACTGCACCACCTAGCTACCCCTAGAGGGTTTTTTAAAAGCCAGTCTGGCAGGAAAGTTGGACATTCTGCATAAAGGAGCCACAAAACTCAGCTCTGTTTGTTGTTGACTCTGTGAGACACCTTCAGGGTTATTCATATGGTTTTTGATTTTTCTGTTATCCACAATGTGCCCATAGATTACTAGTCTTGTTTGATAGGATTACCAAATGGGTAAATTGGGGAATGCTGGAGGCATAGTATATGTAGATTTCAGCAAGATTTGAAATCCTCATGGACAAAATTAAGAGATGTAGGCCAAATGGTCATATAATTCGGTAGATTCAGAACTGGTTAAGTGACTGGATTCTGATAGTATTTGTGGCAATTTGAAGGGAGCTCTCCAGTGAAGTACCTCAGGTATCTGAACTTACCCCGTGATGTCATTAACTTAGTTTAAGACAAAGATGGCATATTTTTCACATTTGCAGATAATGTAAAACTGGGAGGGAGAGCTAACACATTGGATGAAAAAGAACCTAAAAAAACCAAGCAACTCAGGTTAGAAAAAAAACACGAAGTTTAGAAGAAAGACAGGTTAGAATAATGAGTCATATCTAATTAGGTGAAATTTAATAGGGGTAAATGTAAAGTTCTATACTTAGGTCCAAAAAACTGTCTGTGCAGAATGGAGAAGGCCAGATTAGAGAACAGCTTTTAAGAAAAAGACCCAAGCTCCAAATGAGTCAGTGTGATATGTCAGCCAAAAAAGTGAATACGGATCAAGCTGTCTTAAGAAAGGCCTTGTGTCTAAAACAAGAAAAGTTTTATCCTGTGATATTCTGTACTGATCATCCCACATTTGTAATATTGTGTCCTGTTCTAAGTGTTACAGTTTGGAAAGGACATTGACAAACTGGAGCACATCCAATATGCAGCAGCTCCGATTTTCTGAAGAAGATGAAACTTTTGCCTGCAGCTCAGGAGAAGCATATAGAAAACATGACCCAGGGAACTTTTGTCCTCTTGGTTGGATTCTCAGAGGCAGCAAATGCTTCTGTTTTGATTCCAAGTGGAAAGAGAAAGCAACTGTTTTTCTACAAGGCAGCTTTTGCTACTGCTAACTAAACTTCACTAACATTCATTCCTGAGCTCTGTCTTCCTAGACTATATTATTTCCCTCTACAAAATCTCTAACATTTTCTCTGTTCCTGGTGCCTGCCATCCCCTTGTTTTATAATATCCCTTTACTTTTGCATAGTAAATGTTTCATCTGTTCTTTCAGAAGCCATTACTAAAGCTAATGTCTGATTTTGTCTTGGCTAGGATGTCAACCTCCAGTTTGTGATCTCTGGGATGCTACATGTATATCAGCAGAAGATTGACAGTGAAGAAAATAAATTCCTATTTATCACCCATCCTGGGGAGTTGGTAGGCCAGCTGTCTGTACTTACAGGGGAGCCACTTATCTTTACCATCAAGGCCAACAAAGAATGTTCCTTCCTCTCCATCTCCAAGTCTAATTTCTATGAGTGAGTCCCTCATACAGATGCCCTGTTTTTGTTTTAGGGGCAGATAGTGTTCCTTAAGTGGATGAGCAGGTTATCTTAAGTGCTCACACCCCAGTGCTGAAAGTGTTCAGAATGCCAAACAACCCCTTGTTTTCTTGGAGCTGTATACTGATGATGTTTGGGCCTAGTGACAGTGCTATTACAAGAGCTGATAGGTGTTGTGTTTGGACACAAGGGGCTGAAAATATACACTTGGGAATTGTGTCTTAGATAAAGGGCCCTCTGGTTTTTTAACCAAGATATTGGTTTTTTACCTGATTGAATTCTTTTATTCCACTAATACTGGTAACTGATTTGTCACCCTAGAATTATAGAATATTGAGCTGCCAGGGATCTGAAGGATCATCTGGTCCATCTCTCTCAAGTGAGGGGGTTGAAGAGACAGGCACAGAGAGGTTATCTTATTTATTTGCCTGTGGTCACATAAATAGTTAATAGCAGACCCGGAATTTGAACCTTCTGGTTTTAACTCAGCACTACTCGTACCAAGTTAGTCAACTATATCACTGTGGCCTCATCTTTTTTCTTAGTCGAGTTGAATTTCTGGCATTTGTCAGTTTTGAGCAACCAAAATAATTTCCAGCAGATTATGACTGATTTTTTGCTAGCAAAGGAACACCAGAAGGAATGATTGATCATGAAGATATACCAGGGCTCTGGGAAGATTACTTCTTGGGTCCTTTGTGCAATACTGTTCCTATCACTGGATAGGGAACTTTGCTTTGTGAGCTATAGCTCCACATTCCTGACTCTTGTTTGAGTCTGGTCTACTTTGCCCCTTTGTTTTTTTCAGCTGTGCTTTCTCAAAGCCAGCCCAGTTTTTTTCCTTATAATCATACAGTTTAATTTTCTTTCTGAAATGAGTTGTTTTACATTTGTCCTTCTTGCATTGTAGTCTGTTTTTATCTATCTCCTTTACCAACATGTCAAAGTAATTTTAAATTTTAATCTAGTTCTGTACAAGGTGCTAGCCTTGTCCAACTGAGTGTCATCCACAGCTTTAATTCTTTTTATCCTTATCATCTAAGTCAGAATGAAAGTGTTATGCAGTCTCCTTTCTGCTGTGTTTGGGATTGCATTCTCCTGCTTGTGTTAACACACCCCTTCCCTGCATCACCATGGTTTATTGTTGGGCACAGCGGCAGATGCTACTGCTAGATTTGGGGGAGTGAATTGAGCTCAGTCACACTTCAGGGGGATTGTTGGGATTTTCTTAGTCTCTATTTTCATCTTTATGACTCCAAATAAGGGATAGGGAAGCTGTGGGATATATACTACAGACTGAATTATACATGTACTGGGGACCCCCCATTTAGCCAAAAGAGAAACCTGCATTCTGGGAGATCTCTTCAGAGCTGTTGGAAACTCTTGAGTAAAAAGATGAGTCTGGGTACTGACATGTTTGAAATTATTAGGTTTATTATTTGGTTTTGTTCTTTTGACAAGGAGGAAGTAACCTATTTTTGTAGACCAGACATTGGTGTTGAGAAATGTTCATGGCTTCAGGGGTTGTACTGTAGGTGGTACAAACACATGACCTTGGCTATGGTTCTGAAACTGTGACTTGTGGTTTAATCTGAGCAAGGGGAGCTAAAGGATCCCTTTAGTAGATGCAGTCTCTGGAGGGAAGGCAGCTTGGGTGTATTCTCTCTGTGGGAAGATAAGCTTAGTCACTTTCTCCCTATTGACCATTGGCATGGAGACCTGAAACTCTTGTCACTTTTTCACTTTGCCCAGGAGAGTAGCTTTCTGAACCAGCCATGCTGGTTCAGGACCTGGGCATGTCATAACCACAGATTAGTCTCCTCTGTCAGAAGCCTGGCTCCTCTTGGTATTGCTTGGCACCATTGTGTCTTTGACCACTACGGATGCCAGGGCAGTTCTGGAGACCCTTAAGGTCTCACTCTGAAAACCCATTCAAGCTTGCTGCCACCCCAGGAGTTGTTTTTCAATATGTATTAACTCTCAATGTCAGGAAAATTCTCTGATAGGAAGGTTAGTTTCAGGATATCTTTCAATGTTTTAATTTGAAGTGGAGGAAGTACTCTTTAAGAAACTAAGACCTCATCAGGCCATCTACAACCATGCAGGGCTCTAAGAACTTCATCATCTTCCTGAATCCCTTCACTAAATGCCAGTTTGGATCCATAGGAGCACCATGGGCTCTAGAGAACCCATGGTTTCCCTGGAGGTAAGAAATATATGGAAAGGGCTCCCAGGATACCATTTGAGTTTGGGGAGTTTCTTGGTTTAAGGATGCTTGTTCTCTAATACAAACATATTATGGCCAATTTCAGGTAATATTTTATAAAGGGTTGCCTTTTGGCTGTACCTTTATAACCTCTTCCTTCTGTTTCTTAGTTTGCCACTTTTAATCTAAACTTGCTATATTCAGGGGACTTTGGGGGTGCTAAAGAAGAAATGGAAACTGAAATAATAGGAGAATACAGTAGCCAGAAGAGCAGCATGAGCTTGGACAATCTACTAGTGGAGGATATAGCTTGGTCAGTATTCAGAGTTCAGATTTCTTTGTGGGAATGAAGTAGATCTGCAGTGACCCAGTTGTTTTCTTCTGCCCATGTAATCATGGTGCTCTGAGTTCTTTCATTAGCCCAGGAGTTCTTTTGAGAGTGAAATAGGAGTTGGATAAGAATGAGCTTTAATATCCACTAAATTTGAATTTTAAAAGGTGACACCAACTTTCAGGAGATGGTAAGAATGTCCTATTTACAAGACCTTTTTCTTTATTTCTGTAGAATTGTAGCAAAGCTCATTATAGCAACAAGCATAACTTTCTACCCATGTGACTAGACTATGACATAGATTATGGGTAACAAAAATATTCATAGTGTAGTTGGAGCATCTGTTACAAAGCTAGAGTATTTACAAACTCTGTGTCTGTTCTGATTTATTTTCTGGCAAAGGTCGTGATCTTGAAACTCTCTAAGCATCACACTCTGTAGGTGGGGCTGAAGTGCTTATATAACTTGGATACTTGAGAAAATTGGAGAGCTTGGGAAACAGAATGGTTCAGGAAATATATAACACTTCTGCTTTTTGATGCCTACGTCTCTCTTCTCTTCAGAGTGGTGGTTCCAGGGAGCATGGCCAGTATTGAGTTCTTGTCTCTTTTCAGTGGAGGCATTTTAGGGATAAGTCTCTTGGGGAGAAATCATGAAGTCCTGTGAGTCCTTAATGGAGAGCCTTCAGGAGGCCAGACATCTAGATCAGGGAGAGGAAAAGAAAGGCATACCCAGTGTGTTCTAGGGAATATCTAATTAAAAATCTTGCTGTTTATCAGAAGATAAACCCAGTGTCAGAAGCAATAAGTTCGTATTTTTTCACAGTAAGTTGAGTTACAGATAACTGCAGCTTTATAAATTGTTTTTAAAAAATGGCAAACCTATCTATAAATATGCATCCCTGATTTTTCCACAGTCGCTGTTGTCAGGTACCTTCAGAAGGACACTTAAAGGCTCTGAATTGTGTCCTCCTTGAGTTGTAAAGGTATCCCTTGTCTATCTAATATCTATTGCATACAGAAATGTCTATGTGTACATTTGCATATGTATATTTATGTGTGTGTATATTTGTGTGTATTTAGACATACATATACATACATATATATCTACACATATTCAAGTGTATGTGTGTGTGTGTGTCTCAAAACATAATCAGTAGCACTAGATTGATTTTCACATAAAGGTTATGGAAGAAATAATACTTTTGATTTCTAATAGTTTTCATCAGCCTGACATCTTCTACATAATGCAGCAGAAAAAAAAAATACTGTTTTCCTGGCTGATTTATTGGTCCAGCTTCCCTATTGACTTTCTGTGTGTCTTTGGGCAAGTCACTTCCCTCTCTCTGCATTTGTTTCCTCATGTGTAAAATGAAGGGATTGGCTAGATTGTCTGTGATGTTCTGTGGTCTGTGTGCCTCAAAATGCCTTCTACAAGATGAATCCATCCTTAGTTGGGAGAATTTATCTGCATTTCACTGATTGGTAAGGGGCTTAGAACTTTAGATCTTTAGCATAGGTACAAATAGATCTTTTCTCATTTATATTACTCTAGTAATTTGGTGGATGTGGTAGGCCAGAGAACTCTTTCCTCTGTTTTTTTCTTTTCTTTTTTTTTTAAATATAAATTTATTTATTTTAGCTTTCAACATTCTCTCCCACAAGTTTTTGAATTCCAAATTTATACCCCATCTCCCCCCTCTTCCCACCCCAAGATGGCATGCATTCTGAATATCCCTTCCCCTAGTCTGTCCTCTCTTCTATCTCTCTCCACTTCTCTTATCCCCTTCCCCTTCTATTTTCCTGTAGGGCAGGATAGACTTCTGTACCCCATTTCCTGTATTTCTTATTTCCCAGTAGCATGTGAAAACATTTTTTTTTAAACATATGTTTTTAAAACTTTAGGTTTCAAATTTTCTCTCTTCCTCCCTCCCCACCCACCCTCATTGAAAAGGCAAGCAACTCAATATAGGTTGTACATGTGCAGTTATGCAAAACACGTCCATAGTAGACATGTTGTGAAAAACTAACTCTATTTCCCTTAATCCTATCCTGCCCTCCCATTTATTCTATTCTTTCTTTTGACCCTGTCCCTCCTCAGAAGTATTTACTTCTGATTACCCCTTTCCCAATCTGCCCTCCTCTCTATCATCCCCCTGCTCTCTTGTCCCTTCTCCCCTATTTTCCTGTAGGGTAAGACAGATTTCCATACCCAATTGAATGTGTATGTTATTCCCTCCTTAAGCCAAATCCTATGAGAATAAGATTCACTCATTCCTCTCACCTTCCCCCGTTTCCCCTCCACTGTAAGAGACTTTTCTTTTCTTTTTTTTTTTGTGAGATAATTTACCCCATTCTACCTCTCCCTTTCTTCTTCTCCGAGTATAATCCTCTCTCATCCCTTAATTTTATTCTCCAGATATGACCCCTTAATCTTCAACTCACCCTGTGCCCTCTATCTATCTATCTACATATACATATTAATTTTTTTCCTCCAACTACCCTAATACTGACAAAGGTCTCATGAGTTATAAATATCATCTTTCCATGCAGGAATGTAAACAGTTCAATCTTAATAAGTCTCTTATGATTTCTCTTTCCTGTTTACCTCTTCATGTTCCACTTGAGTCCTGTATTTGAAAGTCAAATTTTCTATTCAGCTCTGGTCTTTTCATCAAGAATGCTTGAAAGTCCTCTATTTCACTGAATGACCATTTTTTCCCCTGAAGGATTATACTCAGTTTTGCTGGGTAGGTGATTCTTGGTTGTAATCCTATCTCCTTTGCCCTCTGGAATATTATATTCCATGCCCTGCGGTCCTTTAATGTAGAAGCTGCTAAATCTTGTGTTATCCTGATTGTGTTTCCACAGTACTTGAATTGTTTCCTTCTGGCAGCTTGTAATATTTTCTCCTTGACCTGGGAACTCTGGAATTTGGCTACAGTATTCCTAGGAGTTTTCCTTTGGGGATCTCTTTCAGGAGGAGATCTGTGGATTCTTTCAATTTCTATTTTGCCCTCTGGTTCTAATATATCAGGTTTTCCATGATAATTTCTTGAAAGATGATGTCTAGGCTCTTTTTTTGATCATGGCTTTCAGATAGTCCAATAATTTTTAAATTCTCTCTCCTGGATCTATTTTCCAGGTCAGTTGTTTTTCCAATGAGATATTTCACATTGTTTTCTAATTTTTCATTCTTTTGGATTTGTTCTACTGTGTCGTGATTTCTCATAAAGTCACTAGCTTCCAATTGCTCTATTCTAATTTTAAGCTTTTGGACTTCCTTTTCCATTTGGCCAATTTTTCTTTTTAGGGCATTCTTCTCCTCATTGGCTTTTTGGACCTCTTTTGCCATTTGGGTTAGGCTATTTTTTAAGGTGTTATTTTCTTCAGTATTTTTTTGGGTCTCCTTTAGCAAGCTGTTGACTTGTTTTTCGTGATTTTCTTGCATCACTCTCAGTTTTTCCTCTACTTCCCTTACTTGCTTCTCAAATCCCTTTTGAGCTCTTCCAAGGCCTGGGACTGATTCATGTTTTTCTTGGAGGCTTTGGATATAGGAGCTTTGACTTTGTTGTCTTCTTCTGGTTGTATATTTTGATCTTCTCTTTCACCAAAGTAAGATAATGTAGTCAGACTCTTTTTGCAAGGTTTGCTCATGATCCCAGCCAATTACTTGAGTTTTAAACTCTTTGTGAAGGTAAGAGTCTGTTTCCAATGTGGAGAATGTATTGTCCCAAGCTTCAGGGGTTTGTATAGCTGTTTTCAGAGATAGGGACCTGTAAATTTTCAGTTCTTCCAAGGTGGTATGATAAGGGGCGAGGTGTTTACTCCTTTCCTGGCCTGTGACCACAAGTATTCCTTTCTGTCCTGTAACTGTGAGGAAGGGTTCCTCTCCACAGCCACTCCAAGCTCTACCACGCCAGCGTTCCTCCTCACCCCAGCACCGCCGCCCAGAACTGTGACCCAGATCCACACACGGGCAAAGCAAGAGATTCCTGCCTCAGCACTGGCAAAGAGATCCCTGCGATCCCTCTCTGATCAGCCACTGGATTCCCCCTCAGTCTGTGGGCTGGAAGCTCGGGAAGCAGCTGCCCCCCCCCCGCGCCCCCAGGGCCATGCTCTTGGGGAATGGATCTGAAACCCCACCTTCCTGTTTCAGCACCAACAGAAACAGACTTTTCCCACTGACCTTCTAAGTTGTCTTTGGCATTGGTGGATTGAGGAGTCTGGAAACCTCCACAGCTGCCTACGATTCAGTCCTCTGAGGCCTGCTCCAGGTTCACTGCGGCCTGCCCGCCCACGCTGCGCTGCACTCCCAGCCTGGCATGATACACCTTTCTGATCAATCATCCAGGTTGTCTTGGGCTGGAAATTTGTTTCACTCTGTCTTTTTGTGGGTTCTGCTGCTTCATAATTTGTTTAGAGCCATTTTTTATGAGTATTTGCAGGGGTTTGGAGGAGAGCTCAAGCAAGTCACTGCTTTCACTCCGCCATCTTGGCTCTGCCCCCCTTTCCTCTGTTTTTTCAAGGGACACATTAAACTTATCTCTCCATCACATCTGTTCCCTGTGAAGCACATGGATAGCCGCATGGGGTCAATTGGAATATCTGTTTAAATCAAGAATTCTTAACCTGTGATGTAGGGATAGAGTTCAGGGGGTCTGTGAACTTGGATGAGAAAAATTTCATCTTTTTTTAAAATAATCTCCAATTGAAATGTATAGCATTTCCTTCAATTATGTATTTCAAAACATTCTGAGGAGGGATCTATAGGCTTTGTCAGACTGCCAAAGGGATCCATGACACACAAAAAGATTAAGAATCACTGATTTAAATGATTAATGATCGTTCTCCTCACTTCAACTCTGGGTCTGAGCAAGATGAATTATGACACTCTTTCTAATTGCAGGCACCAAGACTTGAGATTTGTCACTATTGGTTGGTCATGGTGCAAGCTCTTTTAGTTTTGAATTGACAGTGAACAGCATTGTAATCTAGTATGAATCTTATACTTTATTCCAGTCAGTAATAGGAAGAAAAGTAGCTGGATGGGTGATTTTTGCTGATGATGTCTCTAGAAAGGTGCCTAGTCGTGAATGCAGACCAGGTGTTTGGTACTATCTTCTGCTTGGCTTACTTTCTCTTACTGGATTGCAGCTTCCTTTCCAAAAGAGTAATTAGTCTTTAGGACACCACTGCAGTGTATAAGGATGCAAGATTTGTAGGGGGACAGACTATCCTGCGAGCTATGCTAATTGTAGGGCCAATGGAAGGGGGCTGATCTGTTCTGCCCCGATATGCCAATTGTAGGGACGCAGACCCTTTGAGACAGTAATGAGATGCCAAAGAAAGACGAGCCCATACTAGTTTGGTAGTAAATATATATTAAGATTTGTTAGGTTAATTAGATTGTTTAAGGGAGTTTACTTGTGAGACCCAGTCCTTGGAAGCAGGAGGACAGAATGGTATAATGGATCTCTGCAGCAACCCCAGGCCAGGTCAGATATTATATAGAAACAGAAGGTATAGTGCCAGCAGTGGCCCAGGGTCATGTGCAAGTTTTCCCATAAAATAGTTGGAGCTTCTTTTGCTGTTTACATTTACTCAAGGTAGTTTACATTCTTCTGTAGAGTAGTAAGTCATCTTCCCACTGTGGCTTCCACTGTACGCAGTGATTCAGGATTAAGGGAGAGAGAGAGGAGATGTTTCCATTCCTTCCTGTGCCTGATGTCATCCAGCTTCTTTTTGGCTGGAAAGTGTCTGCAATTGTTCAGGGGGGCACTGTATTCTTTCTTTGATTTTCTCTAGCTTTATTAAGGCCATGGAAACAATTCCCAGGAATAGAGTACAGGCTGAGAGAAGGTTTGGCTTGTTTGAATGAATTACAAAAAATGAAATCTAGAAGACTAGTGGGAGGAATAAGATGATACAAAAAGGTATGCCTTAGGACATATCTGGGAATACATATCTGAGGTATTTATTTGAGCTACAGGGCTTTGAAGCCAGGGATCACAATCTTTATCACTATCCAGGCTATGTTGAGAAGCTACCCTAGAGTCCTTATGAATGAGGTGACATCAAAGCAAGGGCCTTGAGCAGCAGTGGTGGCAGTTTGACTGTATGTACTAGTGCTAGGGGCATCCACTCCAAGCTGTCCCAGTCTGTTTTCTTCATATGTCTGGAATAAACCTCAGACAGACTGCTTGGATAAGAATGAAACCTCAAGAAAACTTCCACTAACTTATTGTATGATCTTAGGCAAGCAATTTTTCCTGGATCTGTGATACCTCATCTGTAAAATAAAAGGATTTGGAGTACATAATCTTTTAAAATTTTGTTTTTCAAATCCAGCCTCAGACCAAACACTTGACACTTACTAGCTGTGTGACCCTGGGCAAGTCACTTAACCCCAATTACCTAAAATAAATAAATATCTAAAAATTTTGTTTTATTTCAGTTCCAAATTCTCTCTCCCATCACTCCTTCCCCAACCATTAAGAAGGCAAGAAAAATAAAACTAATTACATATATGTATAGTCAAGCAAAACAAATCTGCTTTAGCTACTCCCAAAAAAAGAAAGAAAGAGAAAAGAAAGAAAAGAAAATATGCTTCAGTCTGTACTCAATTCATAAGCTCTTTATTTGGAGTTAGATGGCATATTTCATTATGACTTCTTTGAAATTGTTGTTGGTCATTGTGTTGATCAGAGTTTCTAAGTATTTTAAAGTTGTTTATCTTTATAATATTGTTGTCATTGTATAAATGTTCTTCTGGTTATACTCACTTTCACTTTGTATCATTTTATATGTTTTTTCAGGTTTCTCTAAAATCTTCCAGTTCATAATTCTTATGGCACAGTTGTATTCTATCACATTCATATACCATGATTTGTTCAGCAATTCTTCACTTGATGGGCATCCCTTCAGTTTCCAATTCTTTGCCACAATGAAAAGAGTAGCTATAAATATTTTTGTATATGTGGGTTCTTTCCCTCTTTCTTTGATCTTTTTGGGATATAGACCTAATAGTAATATTGGTGGGTCGAAGAGTATGCACAGTTTAATAACTTTTGGGGCATAGTTCAAAATTGCTTTCCAGGATGGCTGGACCAGTTCATAGCTCCACCAACAGTTCATTAATATACCCGAAGTACATAATCTTTAAGGTTGATGCTGTTATGTTATATAACTCTTTGTATCCTTTGATAGGATTATGCGCAAGCAACCAAATGTTGTCCTGGCTGTTGCTCACACATTTGTAAAGAGAATGTCTTCATTTGTGAGGCAGATAGACTTTGCCCTGGACTGGATGGAGGTAGAAGCTGGACGTGCAATTTACAGGTAAAGCATTAAGTAAAAATGTCTTTGAGAGAATGTCAGGTAAATTCTGATCCTATTTTTTTTTTTTACCACTGTGGTCCTGATGCTAATTGGGCCTCTAATGGCATCACATTAATATGGGCAGGATTCATATAACTGACAACTTATCAGGGCTCCAAAATGGAATAATCAGTCAGAGATTTCTCACCCCAAGAGGCCACCTCTGGAGTAAGTGCTGAAGGAATAGGATATACTTTTGCCCTGGTTTTTATTGAATAGAAGCTAATACTTTATTTGTATTAGTCAATTAATGAGTCAAGTTCAAAGTTACAGATCTGTTATGTAGAATGTATTAGCTTAAATAGAACAACCTCTTCTCCAATTTAAGAAGAATGTAATTCTTTAGAGTCTACAGTATTGCATTCTTAATGAAATTCTAATGCAGAGATGTCAAATATATTGCTGCTGGCCCCCACAAACCAGATTAAAATGTAATTTGGAAATATTTACCAAAATAAATAAAAATATAATAAAATGCAGATAAGCTTAACTTGTGGTTTTCTAAGTTAATATGTGGCTACAGGGATTCTTTTCTGTGGTTTTGCAGCTCCTTTTCTATTTGAATTTGATACTCCTGTTCCAGTGTGTGCCTGCACATTGATTTGGAATCACTTTTTAAGATGCAGTTTATCAGCCAGCCTATACAAAAACTGAGACATTGGATAGTGGGGAGCAAGTGGATAAAAGGGGACCTATGAAGACCAGTCAAGTTTGTGTGGAGGGCATGAGTTAGGCCATAGGAGAAGAGCAGGTAGGGCAATCTGGTGGAGAAATTTGAAGGTGACAATCAAAAAGCATGCATTGGGCCTGAGGCAGATCTGATATCTGACCTTACTTGTAGCTGTTTCTGCTTTCTCTAATGGTCAGTGTGTCTTGTTTCTCCCCTTAGGCAAGGTGATAAATCTGACTGCACATATATTGTACTCAATGGCCGTCTACGCTCTGTGATCAGCAAAGATGATGGAAAAAAACACCTGGCTGGTGAATATGGACGAGGAGATCTCATTGGTGTGGTAAGAAGACAACTCCTCTTATTCCCGTACAGTATCACAGGAAGTGGAAGAAAGATGCCTTGGCAATAATGAGGGATATGCCTACACTGGGAGTCAAGGACCTTGTGATTTTTGTCTGGGAGAGTTGTGAATTAGGAGACCTCCTTTTCTGAGAGCGTATTGCCCCTCCGTGGATAGTGTCCCAGCGGAGGAGAAGGTCACTCAGAGTGGTGGGCAGGACATAAGGCCAGAAGTGAGATGACACAACCTTGGGAAGGAGACTGCTTGTGTTGAAGGCACTGGGTGCTTGATTTGAGACAGTGTAATTTTTACCTTTTGCCATGTGGCACTGCTTTTATCTAATATTGTTTTCTTTCTGAATTGATATTTGTTATGGTCAAGGTTTTGAAGTGATATGTTGATTCTTATATTATCTCTGACCACTTTTCAAGGCCGTTTTTGATAAGAGATAACTTACATTTTTTCAGTTGTTTAGTTTGTTCTAATATTTCTTGTTTTCTTGTGGACTCATTGTTTTTGCAGTTCTTTCCTCTAGAACTCTTGCTTCCATTTCCATTCTTTCCTTTAATGCTATCATTTCCTTTATAGTATCATTTTTAATTCTTTCTACATTTTCCCCAGGAATCCCAGTATGGCCCATCTGTAGGTTTTCTTTGAGGCTTTGCAGAGAGATGGTGTGGATTTATTCTTTTTCTTGGGTTTATGTCTTCAGTGTCCTTGGCTCTATAATATTTCTTTATCTCCAGAGTTTTTTGTTTTGTTTTATTTGCTCATTTTCATAGCCTTACCTCTTGAATTGGGACTGGGTGTCAGTGCAAGTTTCTGAATTCCTTTTTAAGTGCTGATCTATATGATCTGCAGCCTGGGTAATGAGTTCTATATTTTTTAGTGATGTCAGGAGGCATCTGACTAGTGTGCTGTGCCAGGGTGGTATGATTCAGGAAAAGCCCAGATTTTTGCCCTCCTAGTTTGAGTTTCCCAGGCTCCTGAGCTCCAGTTTGGGGTAGAATGATGCAGTCAGAGGCTCCAGGCATCTTTGGTTGGTCCGTCCCCTTGTACACAGCTTCAGGCTCTGGACTTTCCTGACTTGCCCTTTGTCTCCCTACTCTGGAAGGTTTCCATGAGCTGAGCTTCTGGCATGGACTGGGATTTTCTCTCTGGATCCCTTCTCTAGTTCTATCTCTTTGTGTAAATCTGGGTAGGCAAAATCCACTTACTCTGGTTTTTCCTTGGATTTCTTGATCATTCCTAATTTGTTGCTCTTTTTTCCCCCTTTAGTAGGATAGTTATGAGGGAACAAGGCTATTCTACTTCTACTCCTTTTGACATCTTGTACAGAGAAAAGACAAGAATTACAAAGATGTTAAAGGAAACTGGTTAGAGGAGAGAGTACTTAGAAGCCCTAATCTCATGAAGGATACAGCTAGGTGGTACAGCAGATAGAATGCTAGATGTGGTATCAGGAAGACCTGAATTCAAATCCTGTTTTTCACACTTACTAGCTGACCCTGAGCAAGTTATCTAACCTTTCTCAGCCTCAATTTTCTCACATGTAAAATGGGTATTGCACCTTCCTCACAGGTCTGTGATGAGGATAAAATGAAGTAACATGTAAGGTACTTTGCAAACCTTATAGACCTATGTAAATGTGAACTATTATATTAGAGAGAACATAGAAGGAACAAATAAGGGGCAGCTAGGTGGTGCAGTGGAGAGCACGGACTCTGGAGTCAGGAGGACCTAATTTCAAATCCGGCCTCAGACCAGAAACTTGTCACTTACTATATGACCCTGCGCAAGTCACTTAACCCTATTGCCTAGCAAAAAACAAACAAAAAAAGAAGGAACAAATAAGCAAAAAAGAAACTCAGAATAGACAGTAGTAAGAGAAAAGTAATAAAAATAAGAGGCAAAATTTTGACCAAGACACTCGACCAAAGGGACAAAAGAGGGGAACAAGTAGATAACTAAATAACTAAGAGAAATAAAAATAATAACATAAGCAAAATTCAAGAATTTGAGAAAGGCTAGACACATGGAAATAAGGGGAAGGGAGAGAGACTCTGGGAATAGATTAGCATTCAAAGATAGACTAAGAAAAACTAATCACAGGGTCATCAGAGTAATCACTTGAGAGAGGAAAGGGCTAAGAAATCAATCCTAAGGAAATAAATGGAAGAAAATGCAAACATAATCATTGCAATATTAAAAATGAGTCAAACAATCCAATAAAATGAAAAAGTAGCATAATAGAAGAAAGAATAAAATGCAACAATCTGTTTTATAAAAAAAAAACCCCACAAAAAAGTAGACGCATACAGAAACAAAATGAGAAGTTAGAACAAAGTTTACTCTATATCAGTTAAATGCAGAAGTTGCAATCATGCTGTCTATCAGACACTCAACATTAATAAGCTTTTATTAAATACCTGTTATATACTAGGTATTGGGGATATAAAATTATTATTTCTGGCGTGAACACCATATTCAAGTTTAAAGGACAGGTGGCTTTGTTAACTACCCTGTTTGGCCATGGACTATCCATGGCCTGCTTATGGTTTGTAGAGGGCAGTTAATTCAAGCCAAGACCACCTGGCTTATCATGAGAAGATCTTGTTCCTCTACCTGGATGATGCACCCCTCAGAGTAAGGATGTCCGTATTTGAGGCTATGAGGAAGGGATCTCTTCCTAAGTTTCTCTAGGCTTCTGATGGTTACAGCAAAGGCTGAAAATGAAGAGTGGATTCTTCCTATCATTAGTCTGGATAATTGAGAATTGACCAAAGGTGATTTGACAACACGGTGTTCTGATGTGTTATCCTTGTGGTGTAAGAATAAATCCATATAAAAAAATTAGAAATCAAGAGGATGCCCATCAATTGGTGGATGGCTGAACAAGTTGTGGCGTATGATTGTGATGGAATACTATTATACGATAAGAAATGATGAAAAGAATGGTTTCAGAAAAACCTGGGAAGAATTATATGAACTGAGGCAAAGTGAAATGAACAGAACCAGGAGAACACTGTACATGATAATAGCGAAATTGTAAGGATGATCAACTGTAAAAGACTGAGCTACTCTGATCAAGACAGTGATCCAAGACAATTCCAAAGGACCATGATGAAAAATGTTATCTACTTTCAGAGAGAAAACTGATGAGCTTTGAGTGTAGATTGAAATATACTTTTTTTACTTTCTTTGTGTCTCACTTTTTTTTTTTACAACATAGCTATTATGGAAATGCATGACTTCACATGTATTAATTGATATCATTTTGCTTGCCTTCTCAATGTAGGGGAGGGGTGGGAAGGAAAGAGAGAATTTAGAATTCAAGATTTTAAAAAATGAATGTTAAAAATAAGTAATTAAAAAAAAAAGACTATATCCACATGATCTGTCCTATCAACATTGTCCTGTATAGTGAGCTGCTGTCCCTGGCAGAGAAGCCAACTTTCCTGTTGCTGAGGAAACTTGCCTTTTGAGAATTTAACCCTGGGGCCTTATTATGTCATCTTTCCTTCTGGTCTTATATATTCTGTGTGTTCCTCTGGAATAGCCTTTGATCTGGTGATCTGGAATTAACATGGAACATTTTTTGCAACTTGAACTTAATAAGCCATCACTGAATTATTTTGCTAAATAAAACCCTACCATTCTCTTTGTGTGTTCTTTGATGTTAGAAAACACAACAGAATGGAAAGTGACGTCCTTTCCCCTGAAAGTGTTTAGCAGTTGCTAAGCATCCGGTGTCTAGGTTTTACAATCCAGGCTAATTACAGCTGCTTCTGGACTTGCTTTTTCTGGCTTAGATTTGTGGTGCATTGTGTAGATTTTAACTCCAGATACCATTTCCTATGGTGCAGTCTTATGAAACTGGATGTCAGGTGCTGTTACTAAGCGATGAAATGGCATGATTCTCCCCAGGGCTCCTTATGACGACATTTTGCCCAGCAGTTTCCCTTATTGAGCTTTTTAAACTATTTTTCTGCAGGGATTTAGTTCGTGGAGTATCAGTAAGACACTGGCAGTAATGCAAATGGTGAGGATTCAAACTGTCTTTATGCCCCCATGCTGCTGTGCCCCCTTAGCTCCTATTGCTAGGTGTTTCTCTGAGGATTTCCTCACTAAGAGACATTTCATTGGTGATCTTTGTTTGTTGGGAAGGCTGTTCCTACTTGTGTGGGCTTCCTTCTTCTATGGCATACTCTATAGATCTTCCATTTTGCATTCCAAAACTACTCACCTGCTGTCACCACTTTCATCTCCTCTTCCACTTCTTATTCCTCCTCATGATATCTAAGATCTCTAACATACTATATGTCTCATAGGAAAAGATGGGAGGAAATCTGTCAGTTTTTGGAGATGTTTTATAAGTGTTTTTGATGATTAGACCCAAGTTGATTCTCAGTTGCCTAACACCCATTCCAAGTTGATTCTTATTTGCTTAATGCTAATCAGTGAAAGTAGTTCCATAATTTTCCATCATTCCATATTTTGTACAAATACCTTTAATTCAGTGCCCTACCCAGACACAGTGCTTTCCTCCATTCTTCTTTCTTTAGACAGGCGGATAACATTGATCATACTATATTATGGTTTAGTGTTTTTTCCCCATATTTTTTTCATAGAGCTTTTGTGCTCAAGATGAGAAGAAATGAATGCTGACTCCAAAACCTCAAGGGACATGTTATAGTTTCTTCTTTCCTTTTGAATGTAATCATCCAACTGGTGATGAGTGGCATTGTTAAGCTGAATGCTAGAGCCAGAGCTTTGATTTTAGTGGAGGTCATTTTGGCCTGTATCAAATTATACTGCTTCTGTTAACATGGTCACATGCCTGTACTCTTCTCAACATAAGGATTGTTTTCCCATTTCTCACTGTGGTCAGGATAGGGAGGATTGACTTCTTAGAATAGAGTGAAATTGTTGCCTTGTTTCCTCTGTATCTTTCCTGTTCTCTAACCTTCAAGCCCAGTTGTGGTTCCGAGTTTCTTAAAAGACTGCAGTCTGCTGAAGAAAGTGATGATGGATCAGACTTTGGCATATCGATCATTTTCTCTGTGAGCTTGAGATTTCCACATCAATCTTTTCTGCTTTTTTTTTTACATTATTTAACTCAGCTGCTGCTACTTTTTTAAACTTTTTTTTTTTAATTTTTAGGCAATTGAGGCTAAGTGACTTGTCCAGGTCACACAGCTAGTAAGTGTCAAGTGTTTGGTCTGTGGCCGAATTTGAACTCAGGTACTCTTGACTCCAGGGCCAGTGCTCTATCCATTGTGCCACCTAGCTGCCCCTGAGCTGCTGCTATTCTTGAGAGACTATGTGGTTTTACTTCAAGCCTGTGTTCCTGTTTTGGTTTGTGGATATGAGATATTGTAGTAAATTTTGAAGCAACCCTGGTCCCTTTCTTTCAGGTGGAGACACTAACCTACCAGCCCAGAGCTACAACAGTACATGCTGTTCGTGATTCAGAATTGGCCAAGTTACCAGCAGGAGCATTGACTTCCATCAAGCGCAAATATCCACAGGTAGAGAAATAACATTATCATTCTTCCACCTTTAACATTTGATCCCCAGCTTCAGTCCAGATATATTAATCAGCCATATCTAGGTGTCAAGCAACTAGTGTATGCACAGCATTGTAGGAGATACTTTTAAGGAACATGTGGTTCTTGTCCCCATGTAGCTTGGCAAGTGAAGCATAGACACCTTTCCAGCTTTAAAGTTATCTGACTTCTATATTCCTGTAAGGGATTCAGGGATTTAAAAATTATATGAGTGGAGGATGATAAAAATGAAATGGAGTTAGGGAAGACTTCTTAGAAAAATGAAATGGAGTTAGGGAAGACTTCTTAGAAACTTAGAAGAAACTTAGAAGACTTCTTAGAAAGCAAGTTTTGAGGTTTTAAACAATATGGTGGTGGTCATGGATTGGCAGGAAGGCCTTCCACGGTCAGGTATGGCATATGCAAAGTCAAAGGAAGTGAGCAAATTAAGGGCAGACTGTATCTAGTAAAATGACCAGACTGAATTGGTGGATATAATTATGGGGAAGGCTAGAGTGAGATGTAGTAAGGGGGTATTGTTGATGATGGACTTTGAAGGCCCATTAGAGAAAAGAGTCAAATAATGCTAAGGTAAAAAAGTGGAAGATTGATTGAGGTGTTGTTGACAATAATGGTCAAATTTTGATTGAGGAGTAGGGAGCAGAAAAATGGATGACTTAAGCCAGGGGTGTGTTATGATTCAGGGATCAGCAAGATATTCAGGTGGAGTTGTCCTACAGGAGGATGGGACTATGAAGAAAGGGGTGAACAGTCAGTATCTAAAGATCTAAATATGCAAGTGGTTGTTGAAATTGTATTAAGGGAAGAGGATCCTAGGAAAGTAAAGAAAAGAACTACATTTTAGAGAAAAAAAGAGAAAAGCCAGTGAAGGAGGAAGATGAATATCAGTGGAGTACAACTGTCAAGAGAAGCTAAGAGAAGATTAAAATTTCAAGGAATAGAGGTAAATTTCAAGGAGTAGAGTAAACTTCAAGAACTAGATGTAGTGAGGCACCAAAAAGAATGAAAATTTCTTCCCTCTGGTTAGTCTGCCCTCTTGGGCTGAGGATTTTCCATTTCTGTCAAGGGAGTTTTTTGTTTAAATATTTGGAAAATCATGGCTCAGACTTAATGGTCAGATGTGCTATGTCTCTTGTGAGCCAAATAAATCTTCTTTTCTCTCCTACTATTTGCAAGTGACCCTAAAATTAAAAACTCTCTCTTCAGAACAGAAATCATGAAGTAGGTAGGATGAGTTGAGATAAGGCATCTTGTGGGGCATATGGGATTGTGCTCATGTGGTTATGAGCCAGAGTTGGAACAGAAATAGAAAGCTGGCCTCCAATCTGTATCTGGCAGTGATATCAGAGAAAGCTCATGTAACTGATTTCTTAGATCTCCATAAAAGTTGGGACATGGTCAGATTCTAACCCTGAGGCCATAGTTCTCATTTAGTAATGGGATCACTGTCAAAGGCTGCAGGTACTCTTTTTTGTGGGTTATAGATTATAGCCAAGAGGTTGAACACTTTAATAGCAGCTCTATTTCCTAAGCTAATACTTTCATCCAAATGCCTTTTTGTCCCAGAATCAGTAGAAAGAGAAAAGGTGAAAGTTCTGGTGGTGAGATGCCAATATAAAATTTACCAACTGTTGGATATTGTATGACTCATAATTATAGTAAGTTATATTAAATCATATTTCCCTATGACGTAAGCAGGGTACAAATGAATTATCATCCTAATTTTATAGAATCTACAGGAAACTGAGGCTTAGAGTGGCTAAGTAACTTGCCTAGGGTTAGAGAGATAATAAGTTCCTAAGCCAGTTTGGGAACCCAGGTTTCTCCAGCCCTGTCTTTACTTTTCACTATACTTCTTCTCCTAAGGCTAAGTAAATTTTCTTATACTTTGGAAATGTCACTGTGGCCTGAGCCATCAGACTCATAGAAAAGTAGAAATCGGTACTTGGCTATTTTCTGATTGTACTCTTTCTTGTAATTTTATACATACATGAGTACATATTTCATTATTCTTGGTATTCTAAAGTAGCATTAGATTGTTATATTAGATTGTTAGAGTGTACCTTCAAAGACTAATATGGTGGCAATAGACTTCAACACTGAGTGCATATATTTTTAAAAATAATTTTTATTATGATCTCAATAAAAATTCAACAAATATTCAAATGAAATATAAAATATAAATAAAATAAAATGGAAAAATAAAATCCCAAAATGGTGCAGTGGAAGGAGCCTTGGACTTGGGTTCAAATCCTGATTCTGTTACTTACTTATATATCTGATATGGATATGGAAGAAGTTTGGTTCTAATCTCACATCCACAGTAGTATCACTTTTTCCTGCTTTTGTATTTTAGTTTCTTTATCAATCACATGAGAGTGAATTCTTGTATGAGAAATTGAAAAGGTGCTTTGAGATCCCATGAGATATGTGACAGGAATACAAAAGGTCTTGTTGCAGAGTCACCCCTTTGGTTTTGCCCAGGATAATAAAAGTACTGGGAGATGGAGCAAGGTTGGATATGGGTAACTCTTGTTTTTCACTTTAACATATTATTTAAATGAGTTGCTCACCTAACCTTCTAATATAATTAATCTTCAAATTCAGTGTCTCTGTGAGGCAACATGATGCTACATTCCTTTTTGATAGTAGTTATACTCCTTTCTACCACTTCTTGCCCATATGTGTCCCTGCACCACCACCCCTTCTCATCTTTACAGTCTTCTTTATTACTCCCTTCCATGTACTGTACAACAATTAGCATTTATGTTATGCTTTGTTTGTAACACATTTTACATATATTAACTCATTCTATTCTCACAATAATTCTTTGAGGCGAGTACTATTATTATTGCTATTTTACAGATAACAGAAGTGAAACACAAAGGTTAAGTGACTTGCCCAGTTTCACACAAATAGTGTCTAAAGCAGGATTTGAACTCAGGTCTTCCTAATTCCAAGTCCTGTGCCCTGTCCACTGTGCCACCTAAATGCTTATAATCTGCTACTCTGCTGGCCTTCTCACTGTTCCTTACACATGATGCTCCATCTCCTGCCTTCATGCCTTTTCACTGGCTGTTCACTTTGCCTCCAGGATGCCCTGGCTTAATTAAGGTTCAGCTCAAATTCTGCCTTTTGCAAGAGGCCTGGCAGAGCCTCTGTATCCCTCCCCACCACTGGTACCTTTCCTCTGAGGTTACCTTCTATTTCCATTTGTATATCTTTTGTATGGATAGACTTATTTACATATTTCCTCCGCCATTAAAATGTGAGTTGCTTGAGTGTATCCTCTGTGCATGGTAGCATGTCTAGCATATAGTAAGCATGCAATAAATACTTGTTTACTAGCTGACTGACTAGATTTGGATAGTTCATTCAAACCTCCCCAATTCCTATGTTTAAAGTATGAGATAATTTCCATTCCTCTTCTTTCCCTGAAATTGTGAGTTCTGCCCTCAGCTTTGTCATCTGTCAGTCTCTGGGGATTTCTAAAGAGAATTGTAGTAGTGCATTGGTGATGGTTGTCTTTGGTCTTGGCAGATTGGCTTGACGTAGCCATAGGTAGGATGGCAGAGGGTGCGGCCCAGTGTACAAATGGTTAGCTAGCATCGCCATGATTTTTAAGACTATATATATTTTTTCTTCACTTTGAGACCTTGATCAATTTTTATTGTTCAGAAAGCTATCCTGTCTCTTGTACTATTTTGTTTGGCTATAGTTCTACAGAAATACTTAAACTTTTTAACAAGTAATTTCTTCACAGCACTATGAGAGATGTCTTCAGGGTCATTCCTCAAGTTGCTACTAAAGCTTTCTGAATCTTGAAGTGGTCAAAGGAATGTATATATTTAGGGGAAATTTTTACCCTTTAAAAAAAGCTACAACCTTATAGTGAAATTCAAAAATTCTTTTACTTGAAATTAATTGCTTTCTTGAATGTGGCAAAGTAATGTAGATTTTTTATTCTTGCTCTTGGATATTATTAATCATAATCTCTATTTCTCTAGAGCAGTTTTTGAGATATCATATTTAGTTTCTTGTTTGATACATATTCCCAGCTCTTCTCTAAAAGTTGTGAGCAAAGGGACTACATGTAATTTTTCAATTTGATCCAGCTACATCTCTAGAATAACAAATTGCTGGATATTGGTTTTATAGTTTATTAATTCATTTGCACCCTAATATGAAGGGAGAGAAAGTAGATATAAAACGGTCTCTTCCCATCAAGTACTGCGTGAGCCCTCCATTCAGGCAGTCCCCTCCAGATCTAGGCCACCTGCCTCTGGCTCTTTACTTCTGGGCTTTTCTGGTGAGCCCTGCAGTCAGCTCCCATTCATACTACCTGCCTCAGGCTTCTTTCTTTGTTCCAGGGCCTTCCTGATCCATGCTATCTGAATAGGGGTCTCTGTCAGCAGACCAGACCTACCTTAAACTGCCAGCTCCTGTCTTTTGTACAGACTCCCTGGACTGTACCTTTGTATGTCCCTGCCTGCTCTCCTGAGGGCTTCCTGACCGTCACAGAACATTATCACTTGCTATGAACTTAGACCAAAAAGGAAGGCCTTGAACAAGACCTTGTCACTTCCCTTGCTCAAAGAACTTTTCTACCACCACTGATACTCAGCCTGAACTTATTCTTCAATGGTGAGCATACTTTCACCCCATATCCTCCTCAGGGATTTCAACATATTTCATCTCCCTCAAATGCCATAACTTCCTGGTTCCTCAGTTTCCTCAGTTTTTATGACCTGCGCCTCTACTCCATTTCAGCTACATAAGGAGATGATCATCCCTTGGATCTTGCCTCACCCAAATGTATCCTACTTCCTTATTTATGAACTCTGAAATTCATTTAATTTGATATGATCTTTTGTCATTCCATTTTTTTCTCTTCTGGCCCCAACTCTGTTCTTCCTTCTCACTGGGACCTCTAATCCCTCTACAACTCAGTTCTTTCCTGG